CAGTTTGATACCTATGCAAGAGAAGCATGATGTGACTGTTGAGTTGTGGCATTTGTTCAGCACATTGGTGACACTCCGTTCTTTGCCAACCCAAGCAGGAGCTAGAGAGCTACTTCTACAAAATGCCAGAGAGAGTGAAGAATTTGGAGCAAAAGTCAATCCAGACAGTTTCAACAGATGCTGAAAACTGAGAACAGTGGTGAGTAGAAAAAGGAACAAGAATCACTCATTCCTTTTCAAGGAAATTCTCATCCTTTGCTTCAATGGTAATACAATTCTACTGGTCAGATTTCTGAGCTTTGTACCCTGAGTCCTAAATGATTAAAAATTACTTTTGTTCTCTCTTCTCATCTTCTTTGCATTCCCTTAGGTGATGGAAAAACGATTGACCATTTCTTGGTGATTGTTGTCCTAGTAATTGCTTATTCCTCTATCCACAGACAGAGTGGTTGAACTTGGGACCTGTCTTTATAAATGAGCTGACAGTCAGACATATTTCAGTGATCAGAAGGTTTCAGAAATAACCAGGTTATACAGCAGAAATAACCTGCTGTAGGTTGAGTCCTGCCAGCAGCCAAGCATCCACATGCACTCCAGGACAGGGGAGAAAACAGGAAGAGAAAATGTAAGAAAATTGAGGAGTCAAGATAAAGACACTTAAGTAAGTGACAGAAGGGGGAAAACAATCCTATGAGAACTAAGTGATGCAAAAGCAATGACTCACTATTTCCCATAAGAGAAGTCACCAAGTAATGGCCAACCTGAAAGGAAAAAAACCTCTCATCTTCTTCTTCCTCTACCCCAGGTTTTATTGCTGAGCATAACATGGTACAACATGGAACATCCCTTTGCTCAATTCAGGTTCAGATGTCTTATTTGGTCTCCTCCTAACTTCTTGCATAGGTCCAGCCTACTCATACTCACTGGAGTGGGGGAAAAAAGCAAAAGCCTTGTGTGTGCAATCACTGCTCAGCAATAGCCACACAATTACTGTCTTACCAGCATCACCTTCTTTAGCCAGAAACCCAAAACTTAGCAGCAAAGGGCTGCTGGGAAGAGTTAGCTTCATCCTGGCCAGATCCAGTAGATCAGAACCAAAAAATGAAAATAGTGAAGTCCCATTCTGACAGAGGAATGATTAGACTGGAACTAATAACATTACTCCTGAACAAAATGATACATGTTCTTGACAACTGGGGGCAGTACAAAGCCTTCAGAAAACAAGGGATCCAGTAAGTGCAGCCTTAAAGCCTACTCCAAATGTGCTTCCAGCAGGACTGCACACAATTCCAGCAGGACTGCACACAATTTGCAGAAATAGGGAAATTATAGAAATAATGGTATTAATCCCAGGACTGTGTTTGGAAGCTCAGTCACATTTTTTACTTGACAAGAAGATTTTTGATGCCTTCCTGATGGCCAAGTGTGGTTGCTTTTTTGTTTTCTTTTCTTTCATGTTTTATACAAGCAGAGTGGAGTGCTTGGGTGTGTTTAATTATGATAAGGTTTGGAAACATTTCTCTGTGTAACAGACAACTCATGCAAGGACTGCCTTATGTGAAAAAACTAATTTATGACTTTGTGTGGAGTTGTTAAGTAAGGAGGAATAAAATGGTGCTTTCCCTCCCACCTCTCAGAGAGCAGGGAAGGCAAGGCTCCTTTGCAGAGGGAACGATACAAAGTGCCTGCTGCAAAACCTGGCCTGTGCTGACTCTGTTACTGTGGAGTTTTCCTGGGATGCTCACACTTCCCTTCTCCACAGCTCTCCTGCATGCCTACAACTACTCCCCCCTCTACTCTCCTCAGTGGTTTTTTTTTTACAGTCTCTGAGTTTCTAATTATATTCACTGGTTTGACACAAGCTGAGCTGTGCAAAGTTTTCTGGAAAAAAGCAGTTATTTTATGCCTTCATACTCCCTTTTACAAAGAGAGGGAGCAGCATGGAATCCCGTTCCAAAGAAAAATACTGAAGAGAGAGGAGTTTGTCATTTCAATAGTCACTGTGATGTTTTGGCTGTATCTGAAGATCAACATTTACAGAAAATAGATGTGCAAATTGCCTTTTCTATAGTTCTTCAGAGGTTGCTTTCAGAAAATTATTTATTATTCCAGATGCCTAAGTAGTCAAGGATACTGACTGCTGACTGACTGGAAAGAGTTCAGAGCAGAATAGTAAAAATGATCACTTAGTGCAGATGTTTTTACTTTTTTTTTAAGTGATAAATGGATTAAAGGGATAAAATACAGCTTGAGGCTGGACTAAATGATGAGCTGGGGAGAACACAGGCCTCTCCAAATATGAATAAACACTATGAATAAAACAATAACACATAGCAGTAAACCACAGAGCAAACAATGACATACTCAACTCAGAGCCACAAGTTATTCTTCTACAAGTCAAACTAATTAAAGGATAGTTGAAGTTAAATCTTCTGTCATACATTTCTGCGCAAACCTACTCAACAGAAAGGCAGAAGATGTAGAGCTTGGACAGAACAGAGGATGAGGTTCTGGTGCTACACAGGCACCAAAGAAGCCTTCTTCTTGAAATATCTGTTTCTGTATCATATTAATACATTCTCTTTTCTAGCAAAAAATGACACAATGTTTACTGTTTACTTATTACTCTGTAAACAGTGAACATTGTGCCACTTTCTTTAGTTTGTCAACAGTTTGATCCAAAATCTTGCTTTGCAGTCAACATAAATTCACCCAAGCATTAGCTAATCTTTGCAGACTTTGTGGTTCTTAAGGTCATGCAGTTTAAAATTTTTTGGTTACACCTTATCAAATGTACCAGTTACTGCTGGCTTAGAACAATGTCCATGCACAGCTGCTGAATGTCAATCTCATTTTCTCATACAGGTGGTAGAAGAAATTTTTTGCACTTGAGTGCTCCTGTCACTCTACTGAAGTGTACCATGAATTCAAAATAGACAAAACTTCTGGATAAAGCTAAAATAACTGGATCACACCCCCTTTCTCCTAGGTTGATGATTGCCTCAAATATAAAGTCAGGGGCTACTTCTATTATTTAGGCTGTGAAGTGAGTGGGTACTAAGCTAAGAAATGTCAGAGGAAAGTAATTACTCTCATCCTGTGTGTGCACTGTATTTCAACCTTAAGTTATCAAAGCACCACAAGGGGACCACAGAAGACCACCATGAAGGCCATGACAACTCTAAACCTGCCAGGGAAAAAACAGAGATATTCTGATGCTGGTTTTTTTCCCCACAAGTGATTTAATGATGCCTTTTTCCCCATATGAGTAGCACTTTGAAAGTTGGAAGTAGTGAATAGTTAGTTACCTGTTATTTCCCTTTATCCTTCTCTAAATGTGGGGCTCCAGGTCTCATATTCTGCACATCATGTAAAGCTGGCCCTGAGTTATGTATAGATCTACTTGTCTACTAATAAAATTCCTATTACTATTCCAAACTAACTCAATATTTGACCATGTTAGAAGTATCATAAAAATTATATTTTATTTGTTCAAGGGAGTGAAATTAGTAGCATATTTTACCAATGGGAAAGGAAAGATTATAGGCACTTGCTTCAAACTACTGAGTGTTTATCAATTTTGTCAATCTGTGATACAGAGATTCTAATTTATTCAGGGTAGTTACACTTTTCCCCCCCTATTTTTAAATCTTAGGAAGTTATATATAAGCTTTGATCTATTCAAAGCACAGCTTCCATCAAAGTGAATGTAAAGAGAGGGCATTAAGAGCTTCTGCAAATCTACTCCTGGGTGCATATCAGGAAAATAAAGAACAAAGAATTAGGTGCTCCTCAGTGAGATTCTTGGTTTTTAAAGATGATTTGTCCTGCAATCATGCTGGTGGAAATACAGTGACAAATGTAGGAGTGGGATCTGTTGTGTTACTTTGGAATTACCACACTCATCTTTTCCTGCATGCTGAAATCAACAATTCAGTACTCTTTTAGCTGGCTTGCTCAGCACACACGTTTAAATCATGTGTGATTTAAATCATATTTAAAACATACGTATTTAAACATACTGAGAGCAGTATTTCATGCATCATACCCTGAAAAATAGTAAGGCCTTAATGAAGAACCAGAAAAAGGGTAAGACCTGCCAGAAACAGGGTAAGGCCTTAGTGCAGATCTTGTCAGCTGTGAAAACTTCACAGTCATACTAGTAAGATTGCTTAAATGTGGATCAAAGATCCACATTTTTCTTAAGTCCTACCGTTTAAAAAATAAAATTCAATACAACTGAATAATAAGTAAGTAAATACAGATCAGCTTTAAACAGTAAGGGATTATGAAAAATGCACCTGTCTTTACCAAAATGGCAAATTTTTTTAGTGGGAGGTTCCAGGGAAAATTATGTGCTGATGATATTTTACTTTTTAAAAAATCTTTATTTATAGAAAACCAATGGTTACTTGAAGAATATTAGGAAATAACAGAATGGCAACCAAAATACCAGCACCAGTGGGCAGGTAACGCTTTGGCTTTGCCAGTTCCACTCCTCCCCAGAGGCCTGCAGCCTTCGCGAACGAGCTAGAGAGCGACTGCGGAGGGCATGACCTCCGGCTGAACACCAAATACCCCACCCCGACTCCTCTGGCCGTCTGTGCCGAATCCGACAGCCACAACACTGTAAATTTCCGCCAGGAGCCGCCCAGGGCGGAGAGCGCCCCGGGGCACCTCGCTCGCCGGCGGCGGCGCGCCCCCTCAGCGGGGCGCGGGCCTGGCGCCCGGCCGCGCCGCGCGCCGCAGCCAATGGGAGCCCGGGGCAACGACACCCCGCGCCGCGACGGACATGGCGCCCAAAGCCAGGACTTGGAGGCGGGGTGATCGGGCACTCAGAAGCGGCAGCAGCCAATCAGAATACAAAGCCCGCCCACCGCAGACTACCATTGATTACAGCGCCAGAACTGATTTTAGCAAGCCAATCGGAGGCGGCCAGGGGTAGCAATTTGAATTGGGGGGGAGGCGGCCAGGGGTGGCAGTTTGAATTGGGGGGGAGGCGGCAGGCGGCAACGGCCCTTGGTCATGGAGTTTGATGAGACGGTGCAGGAGGGCCTGAGACGCAGCAATGCGCGGTTTCTGGCGTGTATGAATAAGATCTTAGACCAGGTGATATATGGGACCGGGGTGGCTGCGAGTTCTGGGCGGCGTCCTGAGGCGGGCGGGGAAGCAGGGACCGAGAGCAGCTGTGCCGCCTGTGTGGGGCCGCGCACTCCTGTGCCTTGGCAGGAGAGGGCTGGCAAGAGGCAGCTCCCGGAATACAGCCACAGAACGGACAGCTGGGACTGCCCGTGCTGGATACGCGACTTAGTCACAAGTGCGAGCTGACTTCAGTGTCCTGAACTCCGATTAGCTTGCGTTAGAGGGGCGGTTGTCAATGAAACTACAAAAAGTGGGGGCCTCCCTCCGTGAATCCTTCTCCCGTGGGAGACGTTCTGCGTTTAAGGTGTGGGCATGGTCCTCCTCCGTGCACCGACACGCGTTTGTCCCGGGATGCGGCCTTTCCCGTTCCAGAGGTGTTTTGTGCTGCCGCCGGGCTAAATCTGGCTCTAGATCGATTTTCTCGGCCCGAAAAAGGACCCCTATTAACAGAGGATTAACCCTTAAAAACAATCGCCTGTTGCATATTCATACATCTCATACATGATGCATAAATTCTATTCAAACACAGGATTCTGTCTGGTCACTGTCAGCTTCTTCTTAATCCTCATGCCATCTCTCAGTCTGAGTGAGGTGGGAAAAAGTTAGTTTTCTGCTGATAAGGGAGCAATAAATTCCTTTTCACTGAAAGATTTAGGTGTCCTGTGGCTGCTATCTGGTGTGAGTCCTTTCTTAAATATCTTGCATAGCATAGTATCTATTTTAACATTATGTTATAACCTAAAACTATATTTAATACACTAGTTAAGAAAATTATTTAATACAGCATAACTTTCTAACATACACATACAGTATTCATTTTAATACTTGCGAAAAGCCAATCATAAAATACACATTTTTCACATTGGCTAGTGCACATCAGACTTTTTACATGTCATGAGTGGTTGGTCTTACTTAGCTGGGGCTGCTTTTCGTTTCTACAGCAGAAATTGGGTTGAAACTCAGAGAGCAATTTAACTGCATTTTACAAATTCTCTGAAGCCCTGTTTTGGCACTGGCTGGCTTATGCCTTAGGTTGAATGGCTTGAACACATGCTTAAAATACACCGGTTTCTTCTAGGAGTTACTATTTCCAGATTGCTGACTTCTACCTTTAGCCAATAAAGCAGCGTACAGATAATTTCATGTTTAGGATAAAAGAAAAAAATTCTCCTAAAAACAATATGTAAAACAGACATTACAGATATTACTTTGATAGTTTATTCTAATATTTAATGCATCTTTTTCTTTAGTACAATCGTGACTTCGAAGATGATATCCTGGTGTCCATCGGCACCTTGACTTACGAAACACCTGAAGGTAAGAACTCCTTAAAGGTACAATTTTTACATACTGTATGTGTAGACTTAGTAAAGCATTCAAGTGTTGGCAGTTGCAGAATATTGAAGTGCGACAGATACTGAATTTTGTTCACTAACGCATGATATATCATATGTAGACTTTGGTATAGTACCAAGAATTTACTCCTGTGTGCACTCTTAGTCTGTTGCATGCTCTGTTCTAGATAACACATTGGTTATTAGCAAAGTTCAGGATGGTATTATGATATTATTATTCTAATATATATGTATATTTTATATATAAGATTACAATATGTTATATATAATTATAATATTATTATATTAGCAATGTTCAAGATGGGTAATGTTTGGATGACTTGAAGGAAGAAGGATCAAAAATGAAAAGACTGAGAGGAAGCAAAGGAATGGAGACATTAGCAGAAGTTGATTGGCATGAATGGATAATGTATTTTCATCTTCACTCAGTATTCTGAATACTGCTCTGATAAATTACTGCTATGCCAAACATCAGGGTGCAGTCGGTACACAGTCTCTTTAAATTTTCATTGACTGTTCCCATGCGGTTAGCATCAATCTAAACCACGTAGGCCCATGACACTGTTTACCCAGTTTTTCATTGTAATGGCTGGTCAGCGTTCTGCAGTGTTGAAGGGTGGATCCCGTCCGGGCTCTGCGCGGGAGCATGGCTCGCTGTGAAGGCGTGGTCCCCGTCGCTGGCTCCATTTCGCGTGCCAGAGGAAAAGCCGCCGCGGCCGCCCTTGCCCCTCTGTCTGCCCACGGCTGCCTAGGAGCGGCCAAGGGGATTGGTTTCATTGGGAGCCCTGCCAAGATACAGCACCCCCTCTGCCAGGAAAGGGAGCGGCCAGCCCCGTCGCCACTCCTCGGAGGCCGCAGACATAGAGAGCTTCTCACAGTTTTTCCTGGTTCTTAAATGCGTTGTTCTAGAGGCATTACCAGCTTCTCTAATTGCCTTAGCAGCATGCCTCTTCTCAGAGCCAGCGATTAGTTTTGCCAGGCACAGGAAAAGCTTTCAACAGCTCTTACCAGAAAATCACTTCTGCCCTTATCCCTCTTCACCAAAAATCAGACCTATAAAAACTACCACATACATGAATTTCTGTATCAGTTTTTATAACTTAGCGGAGAGCTTGAGGAAGTATCAGTTGTGCACCAAAGGTTTTTACAGACTGGAAGGCTTAACATTTCATGTATACTATCCATTGGGAGGGAGAGGAGGCATTCATAGAGTACTGTAATAGACAGCTTTGCATTTGTAAAGATTTGGTTATGTTTTTGGTTTAGTGATCTCTGTTCAGTATGGAATGAATACGGATCTCAGTCCTGAAGAGCCTTAATCATGGCTTAATTAACCTCAGATACCATGGAGTCTCCATTCATTAGCTAAAATCTAGAATCTAAAGTATTTTGCCTTTTTTCTCCTCTTGGTAGAATATGGGGCTGTAATGCTCTTTGGATTGTAGCTCTGTCTTGCTAGACTCAGCATGTCGTTATCTTCTTTGTCTTGCCTGACTTCTCAGCTTGAATTACCATGTTGTCCTGGTTTGTTTTCCTTTAATTTTTTTATTTTGGCAAATGTGGTGGTAGACAGTTCAGATTTGCTAATGCCTTGTTATTCTGAAATAGGTTGTTCCTAAATGTTTGTTAGTGTGATATTCAGTATAGATGGGATTATGATGTGTGGTAATACTGTTACTTTTTGTTTTTCTCTAGGACCAAAAGGATGGGAGAAGGTGTCTAGAAAAGATGTCCAAAAGTGGAAGAAAGAAATATTTCTGGTATTTCTATTACACTCCTACCATGCAGCCAACATGCAGCAATATTTCTTTATGGATGTCTAGATAGATAGGATTATATCCTAATCTTGCCTTGCCATGTAATATTTTCAGAGATATTGAGGAGGTCAACATCTGCTTTACAATAGAGTTTTAGGAGAGCTTAAGATTTTTTCTGATACATTAGGCTAAAGTAGATGGGCATTTATCAGTGGTTAGCACCACTTGTACACCTGGAGAAATTTTTTTTTCAACTGCTGTCTGTTGGGAATGTGTGTTTTTGGAACTCATCAGAATGTTTTCAGTGCAGTTAATGCATTGAATCAATTTATCTTTGTTCAGGCAGTCAGCTCTTCCATTCCACGGGGATTCCTGGTTTCATCTTTAGTTTCTTTCTTTTTCCCTGTGAAATAATGCCAGATGACTTAAAGAATCTTTGCAGTCTCACCAGTCAGTGTGTCAGGTAAATGCCATGGCCTGTATGGTGTGCCTTGGCAGTCAACACAAAGCTGTTCAGAACCCCACAGAGTGAGGGCATGAGGAATGGAATTCAGTCTGAGGCAACCTGAGTGGATTTCATGGAGACCAAAAAGAAGCTGTGTTTAGGGTTCCCTAAACACGCTCCTGGTAACGCCTCGTGCACAGTCTACTAAGCATTGCTGCCCAAGTTTCCGGACCAAATCCATAAAAGACTGTGAGGGAAATTCTCTGTCTTAGCCTCTTATGTGGGCCCAGGTATGTTCTTGTAGTGCTTTAGCAGCAACAGTAAGGGGAAAAGTGAATGATCAGGTAAGTTTTACTAGGTACTTGTGGCATTTCTGGTTAGGCCTGGGGAAACCTGAGAGAATGGAATGGTTTTGTAGTTGTGGCCTATACCAAAGTAAATAAAGACAATGCTTAAAATTATTTTGCTTTTCTTTGATTATTCTTTTTTATTTCTATTGCAGAGTAATAAATGCCATCCAAGGAGCACAGGTAGTATTTGGGTTTTTTGGGGGTTTTTTTGGTTTTTTTTTTTTTTAATTTTTTTGTTTGTTTGTTTTTTTGGTGTTTTTTTTAATACATTACAAATTGTCTTAAGCCAAGTGTTTTGCCTTAAAGGATGGGATTCAGGTTCATGCGAAACCCTTTAGGATATTCACTGGGTTTTGTGTGAGAAGCCGTCTAATAAGTCATCAATACTTGTGTTCCTAATGGTTCAGAAATGTCAGTTAAAGTGTTTAAGATTAAGTACATTATATTTCATGGTGCTATCATAACAAGTTGATTAGAATAAGCACCCCGTCTGAATTAATCAAAGAGTTTTTTGTTGTATTTGTCAGTTTTGTCTGATAATCATTGAATCTTAAAAATTTCAAGCCTGACTTCTGTGCGCATAGTGGTGAAATATGAATGTTGGTAACTTTTTGAAAATTACTAGCCAATATTTATTAAAATATTCATTAAAAACTATGTGCTGAAATAATCTCATGAAGTTGTGTAATGGAGTTTTGACTTAAAGGAAGGGATTCAGGTTCACACTAAACCCTTTAGGATACTCATTGGGTTTTGCGTGAGAAGCTGTCTAATAAGTCATCAATACTCATGTTCCTAAGGATTCAGAAATGTCAGTTAAAGTGTTTAAGATTAAGTACATTATATTTCATGGTGCTATCATAACAAGTTGATTAGAATTAGCACCCCTTCTCAATTAATCAAAGAGGTTTTTGTTGCATTTGTCAGTTATGTCTGATGATCATTGAATCTTAAAAATTTCAAGCCTGACTTCTGTGCGCATAGTGGTGAAATATGAATGTTGGTAACTTTTTGAAAATTACTAGCCAATACTTATTAAAATACTCATTAAAAAAAAATACATACTAAAATAATCTCATGAAGTTGTGTAATGGGCTATCCAAAATGTAGCAGATTATTCTGTCTAGTCAGTGAATCAGGATGTCTCCAGGAAAAGGTAGCACGCAGTTACTTTATTGGAGATCAAATTCCAGAATAGAAATCAAAACATGTCTGTACACCAAAGTGTAGATATGATACTACTTGGACGGGATGCGTGACATCTGAAAATTTTTCTGAAAAGCAGCTGTATGTTCCTAGAAAATACGTATCTTTACTGGGATAAGTGATGGGGGGGAGAAAATTTTGCTGTGTAGTAGAGTGTATCACACAGAATCACTAGGTTGGGCGAGACCTTCAAGATCATTGATTGCGCCCCATGCCCAAACACCCCAACTAAACCATGGCACCGAGCGCCACATCCATTCTTTTTTAAACACATCCACGCGTGGTGACTCCACCACCTCCCTGGGCAGACCATTCCAGTACTTCATCACTCTTTGCGTAATAATCTTTTCCCTGATACCCAGCCTGTATTTCCCTTGCCGTAGCTTGAGACTGTGTCCTCTTGTTCTACCCATTGCTGCCTGGAGAGAGAGACCAACCCCCCCCTGGCTACAGCCACCTTTCAGGAAGTTGTAGAGAGTGATAAGGTCACCTCTGAGTCTCCTTTTCTCCAGGCTAAACAACCCCAACTCCCTCAGTCATTCCTCACAGGGCTCGTGTTCCAAGCCCCTCACCAGCCTTGTTGCCCTCCTCTGGACGTGCTCAAGTGTCTCAACATGCTTCCCAAACTGAGGGGCCAGAACTGGACACAGCACTCAAGGTGTGGCCTCACCAGTGCCGAGTAGAGGGGAAGAATGACCTCCCTGCTCCTGCTGGCCACGCTGTTCCTGACACAGGCCTGGATGCCTTTGGCCTTCTTGGCCACCAGGGCACACTGCTGGCTCCTGTTCATGTTCACGAGTGCCCCCGGGTCCCTTTCTGCCTGGGCGCTGTCCAGCCACTGTGTCCCCAGCCTGTAGGGTTGCAGGGGGTTGTTGTGGCCAAAATGCCACCATGCCACCTTCACAAAATGAAGGTATGTTGGGCTCTGTTCTCTCAAGGTTTTGTCGTGGGTTTTTGGGTGTTATTTTATGGCATTCATCTGAGTAACTTTTATTTGGGGCACCAGAGGACGAAGCACTGCCTAGCACCTGTCTTCTTCCACAGCACTGCCAAAAATTTGTCTATACGGTGGTCAGACACAGGCTTTGAATCAGCCTAAGAAATCTAAATGTAGAGCTGGAAAATAAGGGTCAGGTACAAAAAGTTTCAGATGGTGCCGACCTTTACCTCTTGTTCCATTTGGCTAATGGGGCAAAGTAGTACAAAAATTTGGCTGTAGTCTGTGGTAGAACTTGAAAGTTGGATTTTTTTTTTCAAAGAGCCAGTTCTTGAAGTATTTTAGAAGAAATATTTTGCTAATCTTTGCAAATCTACTTCAGGGTCTGAAAGGTCTAGAAGCTCTTAAAAAATGGTGTTTATGTGGTAGTCTTTAATGCTAGAAAGTCTTGATCTTATTAATTTTAAATTTAGTGTACTGCATTACAGATGAGCTAAGGAAGCAGAAAAACGGGTGATATGTGTTTTCTCAAGTTACATTAGAAGTTGGGAAAAGTATAATTTCAAGTCATCCGAGGGAAGAAATTTCTAACTGTGTATTAAAGTTGGGTGAACAGCTTTCTTATAAAAAGACAAGCCTGCATAGATTTGTATTTATATATGTATTCCATAAAAAATAGTCTCACAGATTTTAGCCAGCTTAAGAAAACCATATCTTGCTCTGACTATTTTTATTTGAATCACAAGGACACATGTGTAAACATTTCAACTGTTGTGGTGTCAGTTGGCCTTAAAAAAAAAAACAAAAACCAAACCAGCCCATACCCCTTAAACCCTCCCCCCAAAGAAAGGATACTTCTGACTATGGATTATTACAGCTAATGTATGAATTTTCTTTCTCATTTACTCTTAAGCAGACCTAAGTGTTTTGAATAAGGATACATAAAGGTTTGTGCTGTTAAGTGTAAGCATTAAATACCTATCAAATGACCCCTCCCCTTAGAATATAGCTGGTGTTGTTTTTTCCAACTTGCCGTTCTGAATTTTGCTAGATTTGAATTTTTACTATTTGGCTAGAATGTCCAGCACCCTCATCAAGTTTTACTGAATCAAATCACAATCCTTTGAGTGGGGGGTGCTTGTTTTCATATGTGGCACTTCTCACTGAGGGAGGGCCGGGTATGTAAAATTTCAACCTCCCAGGGAAGTGATATTTTTGTCCTATATTAGCTGCTTAAATTGGCCTTGGTCAGTAAGAGATTTCAACTGAACCCTACTATGTTCTTCTAATTCCCTCTGTTCCCAATCCAGATATGTTTGGAAAAGGCACTATTCAGCTTCTAAAAGAATATGTTGTTAAGGAAGTATCACAGTAGTATTTTGCAAAACAATGAAGATTAATTTCCAGGGAAGGTTACCACCTGAAGCCAGAGCCTTCTAGTTATATGCTTGTTTGTTGAATGTTATGAGAAAGTGGTTTTATAGCCACTGGTTGGAAAACTGTGCTTTGAATAATTATCAGTGGTCTGGGTCCCAGCTTGAGGGAAACATGGGTTTGTTTTTTTTTTTACAGGACTTGTCCTGTAGAAAAAACACTTTATTGGTTTACACTCTATTGAATAAATAACAGAAGAGGGAATACCCTTAATTAACTCTCAGATGATAGCAGGTAGGGTTGACCACTGAGAAAGGTGTTCGACAGACTTGGGCTAAAACTTAAAGGAAAATTTCTACAATTTCATGCAAAGAAGTTCAAAGTAATAGACTTATTTTGGAATAATCAAGTGCTGAAGAGACAATTTTGAAAGCTGCTTGAGCCAACCAAAGGTATCACACTCCGCTGTAAAAATAGCACACACCATGCTAGAAGATATGCACAAGTGCCTTGAACATGAAGCACACAAAACAGGTTTTCTGCACTCTTCAGCAGTGATAAAAAGTGTGCTGGAGTACGTTGGTTTGTGTTTCATTATAGTGAGATTGGCCAGAGTGAGTCAGAGAAGGAAACCAATTACTGGAGCACAAGTGCCTTGAACATGAAGCACACAAAACAGGTTTTCTGCACTCTTCAGCAGTGATAAAAAGTGTGCTGGAGTACGTTGGTTTGTGTTTCATTATAGTGAGATTGGCCAGAGTGAGTCAGAGAAGGAAACCAATTACTGGAGCCACTGGTGATAGGACATAAATAGAGAGGGGAAAAAAAGAAACTGTAAACAAAAATAGCAAGGGAGGCTTAATATTATAGAAGTAATGGAACTTTTTTTCCCCTCCCATTCATGCTACGAAATATCAGAGGAGCAGAGGTGTGAATTTGAAGATGAGCACTCAACAGAACACCAGGTATGGCTGCTACATTGCATCTGTTTTGATGGAGTGTTCCAGGCCAGGCTGGGTGAGGCTTTGAGCAATCTGGCCATCACACAGGGGTTGGTACGAGATGATGCTGGTGGTCCCTTCCAACCCCAACCGTCCTATGTCAGCCTCTTTGGGAAAATGTGTTTATGTAGTCAAAAGCTCAGAAATGATTTATGAGCAGCTGGTCCTGTACCACGATATCTGTACTGGCTTTCAATTCTCAACCACCCCCCCCCCCCCCAAAAAAAAAAAATTGAGCAAATAGTGAAAGCAGAAAATTGGATGGGCTAATTAATATAGCTTAAGCTACCAGCTATTAAAATTCCTTTCACGTGCTTTTAAGGAATCTTCCGAGAGCTCTGGTGAAGACACATCTGATTCAGGTGGGTATTTTCATTTACTACCATTTACTATTTTCATTGTCTAACCTTTATTTAACTTTGTTGAGAAAATTGCAGATAACTTTTTCATCATTTTCTAATATTGTAAGCTTAGTTTTCATACATCTTCTGTACCCTTTCTGAAGGTAGGGAATAGGAATAGCAAGAGTCTGAGGAATGGGTGGTTCTGTGCAATCAATCGTTCTATTCCTCATTGAAATTTCAGTCTTGATTCCCTGATACATTGAAAGTCCATGCGAAATATGTTCAACTGTCCTTTCCTAATAAGAAGAGTGAAATGAAAACCTTGGTGTAGTTGTCAGTAGAAATTGTAGTAGTAGTCAAAATAGATTAATTAAATGTTAGGGGAGTGGTAGGCAGAGGTTTGCAGTCAGTTGCAATAATTCTTCAGTAGTGTTTGTAAAACTTTAGACATGAGTGTCCTGAAATCTTTTAGCGAGGTTTAGACCTTGTATTCCCCAATCATTATTTGATTGTGTTCATAAGTGGGGACTTTTTAAAAAATATTAGTAACTAGCATTATTCAACGTTTTTGATTCTTGAGCAAATTAAAACTTCAGTCTTTTTCTTAGATTAAGCTATGGCTAGAAAGTAGCCAGCATTAATGGCTGAAGGAGAAGTTGCAGTAGAGTATGGTTAACTTGGGGTTTAAGTATTATTCTTGTATTAAATTAGCTTGTTCATCTACATAGCTGCCTCTAAGGCTGGCGATTACTTCCCTGTTGAGGGAAATGTTTCCTGCTGTCATTTGAGAGGATAATTTCAACTAAGCATTTGAGTGATCAAATAATTTCTGCCAATTTAGAAAGCATGACATTTTGCTCTTCCTGCTCAAAGAAAGGTAGGAAAAATATTTCAGAGGCACCTGTAGCTTGGCTTGTGTAAGTTCCTTTGCCTTCTGCGCTTGTGGGAGAAGTGAGTGAAGTGCTTCAGACTCTGGTGTTTTCAATAGCAGCATACAATAAAATGATTGTCCACTTCTCCTCCTCCTCCTCTTACCATACACCCGATGGTAAGAACTCCTTAGAGCTCTACAACATTTGCCTACTGTATGTGTAGACTTAGTAAAGCATGCAAGGGTTGGCAGCTGCAGAATATTTAAGTGCAACAGATACTGAATTTTATTCACTAAGGTGTGACATTTCATATGTAGACTTTGGTATAGTACCAAGAGTTTACTCCTATGTGCACTTTTAGTCTATTGCATGCCCCATTTTAGACAAGACAATGGTTATTAGCAAGGTTCGGGGTAAAAAATGGGTAATGTTTGGATGACTTGTAAGGAGAAGAATCAAAACTAGAGAATCCTGAGAGGAAGCAAAGGAATTGATCTGCATGAATGGATTGTCTAATGCTCTTTGGATTTTAGCTCTGTCTTGCTAGACTCAGCATGTCGTTATCTTCTTTGTCTTGCCTGACTTCTCAGCTTGAATTACCATGTTGTCCTGGTTTGTTTTCCTTTAATTTTTTTATTTTGGCAAATGTGGTGGTAGACAGTTCAGATTTGCTAATGCCTTGTTATTCTGAAATAGGTTGTTCCTAAATGTTTGTTAGTGTGATATTCAGTATAGATGGGATTATGATGTGTGGTAATACTGTTACTTTTTGTTTTTCTCTAGGACCAAAAGGATGGGAGAAGGTGTCCAAGAAGAATGGTCAAAAAGGGAAGAAAGGAATTATGGTATTTATCACTACAGTCCTACTATGCAGCCAACATGCAGCAATATTTCGTTATGGATGTATAGATAGATAGGATTGTATCCTAATCTTGCCTTGCCATATAATATTTTCAGAGGTGTTGAGGAGGTCAACATCTGCTTTACAAATTTTTTGATATATAAAAGCTTACCAGTAGGGCATACTAACTTGAGGAAAGAAATCTGTCTTTAGCTGTTTTAGCTAAAGTTTTAGCTTTGGACAGGTGTTTTCCATTTTTAGTGTTCATACAGAACACTTCACACTTCTCAGGGAAGGTGGAGTTTCTTCCAGGTATTATACACTGGTTTTGTGTTGAAAGTGTGCAAAACTTGTCTACAGCAGGTAGAAGTCAAGTGGAACAGCTCTCACCTGGGCCTGCAAGGGTTAGTCTGTCTTTAATAGGGAAAGTTATTAGGATTACCCTCTTGCTTTCTCAGGAAGTAGCATGGCAGAGTCTATCTGACAGTTCCTTGTAGCTAGCAGGATCCTATCACAGAAGACTGAGTTAATTTGGAGAAAGGGATAAATAACTTACAACTGAGGGAATAATAGTGTTTTGGATGCACCTCCTGTGAAATAGCTTTCTGTAATAGATGTCGTACTTTTGAGAGAGAAAGGTAGAAGTTTTCTTTTTTCCTCTGTGTTCTGCCTTTGAGGTGCGGAGGTGTTACTGAATTTCCCTTTTGGCCTTTAAAGCCACTTTCAGATTCCCTGGAGAAAATACTTTTACTTTTCCATTCTGTGCTGTGGCCCACTGCTAATTACTGAAGTTCCAGTGATTTGAAAGTATGATTACCAGCACATTGGAGATATGCTAAAATTAATTTTTTGAGGATTCACTCTTAGAAGAATTTTCCACCTATATACAAATCAACTCCTGCCTTGATACAAGCTGTTTTTTGATAATTTATGATTGGTGTGATGGAGTCAACCAATCCCTGGCACAGGAGTTGTTCCCTTTATCCCAAGAACGGCCCATTTTTGTAGCGGTCCAGTCTGTTCATCTTGATGAACCGCTAGGAAGCAGTCCGACAGTTTTGTTCCCAATTGTACTGGAGGAAGGAGATTGTATGGCAGAAAGAGCAATAGCAATTTAAGAGTGGTATGAGGAGGCAGTGCTGTGGTGGGTATCATGACCAAGTTTTTTTCGCTCACAATTTCCAGGATTATCCTCGTGTCCTTTTTCCTTCCCTCTGGTGAGTGCAGGGAAATGCAGAAGGCAGGGCTGAAAATGCAGTCATATATTTTACGCTCCTGCATAACTGATTTCAGCTAATGCTGAATTGGAAGGTCTGGCTACATCGAGGAAAAAAAAATATTTTGTTGCATTTCATTTACAAAAAAACTCACCCAGAGTCTGCCTAAAACAGAGTTAAAAAATTCTGACTTGTTTTTTCATATTCTCAAGTCTGCCTTATTTCTCCCTTTGTGAGTCCTAGGGTGGTCTTGACAACAGGAAGCTACTAAGAGGAAGCGTGAGCAAAAGTCCTTGCAGTCTTTCTTGGGATATTTAGGAATGTGGCAGGGATTATGCATTAATGATTAATGAGTCTTAGAGAGCCACAAAAGAAAGGGCTTTAAAACTATTTTCCTCTCTGAAATTTTTGATATAAATCGTAAAGGACTGATTGCAAACAAGTTTTCTTTACCCTTCTTTGCTCCACTGAAGTCATTTATGAAGCCACAAACCATGCTTTTCAATTGGAATTGAAATGGAAATGTAATACAGTTAAAAGTTAGAGTGTAGAAAAGTATTTGCTAGAATGAAAGCAGTGTAGTCAATAACTTGCACAGTGTGTGTTTAAAAACATTTCTGTTTTGAGTTCAGCTGTATTTTATTTAATATTTGCCTTCAACTTGCAGGTGAAGAAAGTGGTGACATAGCCTCAGTAGGAAGAAAATCTAACGACAAACACCTGAAGGTAAAAACTTTGGGTATCTAACAGAATGTAATGGATGTAAACGATTGTAATGGATGGAAACGATTTACCGTTTGAGTAGTTTACGCATGCCTGATGAGTTGGTGCAGTCAGCAGAAGACTTGATATCATCTGCGTCTTAACGCACATTTTTAGCATTTGAGGGGTTCAATAAATAGTGTCACAGAGACCAATGACAAGTGATCTTACTGTCTTGCTAATACCAGTGAGCCAGAGAAAGCCCTACAATGTACTGCATCAACAGGCAGTCCTGAGAAAGGCTTTTATAGGTAAGGAAAAAGAGGAACCGAATGGATCATAAGGCAAAAACACTTATAAAAAGTATGGTCATTCACCTGAGAGTCTGGCATAAATGGGTAACATGATTTAAAACAAATGGTAAATGTGAAATAATGGCTGCTGTAAGAAAAGCAGGCTGGAATCTTCTGCTGTTGCTTCCCAAACTCTACTATGGTCAGGACTAGCCAGAGCATTTGCAGTGTTAAGGAATAATATTGCATACACTTTGTGTGTGCAGCCATTTTAATCTTGTGCTCTGCTTGCTGAAGTAGTGCTGCCAAAAATGGGATTTACTTTTCTTACTTGTCTGGCACTGTGCTGTTGTCTTCTCTCTGGCAACAGCTAACGCAACCTGCTTCAGAAAGTGACAGTTTGACTAATTAATTGCCTTTTTGTACAAAATTCTCTTAG